TGTGCGACAATGGGAATACCAACAAGGCCGAGACGTTCTTCAGGCAGCTGATGAAGAAAGGTGTGGATGACAAGTCTGCATTCAACAGTCTTATCCGTGGGCATGCAAAGGAAGGTGCGCTAGAGGCCGCAAAGGAGATTCTTGCCATTATGACACGCCGTGGCGTCCCTACTGACCCCCACTCGCACGCACTGCTTATTGATAGCTTCCTGAAGAAGAACGAGCCAGCTGATGCAAAGACGGCACTGGACAGCATGATGGAACATGGTCACTTACCAAGGCCAGCTCTGTTCCAGTCTGTCATGGCGGCACTTTTCAACGATGGCCGGGTTCAGACCGCAAGCAGGGTCATGAAGAGTATGATCGAGAAGGGGATTACCGAGAACATGGATATGGCACATAAGATCGTGGAGGCTCTCTTCATGAGGGGTCATGTGGAGGAGGCGATTGGTCGCGTCAATCTGATGGTGGAAAATGGCTGTATGCCTGATCTGGATAAGTTGCTAGCTGCCCTTTGCGAGAAGGACAAAGTGATGGAGGCACAAAAGCTGGCTGATTTTGCGTTGGACCGGGACTTTGAAGTTAGCTTCTCAACCTATGACAGAGTCCTGGAAGCCCTGTACACTGAGGAGAAGACATTGCCACCCTACTCCATGCTCTGCAAGATCAAGCACAAAGGAGGCGTTGTAGATCAGAAGGGTTGCGATGCTTTGATGGATAGCTTAAAAGCTGGAGGATACTCAAAGCAAGCTGACATTTTGTCTAGGATCTTGGTGGAGAATGGATCATCAATATCCAAGAGGGGCAAGAAGTCTGCCATGGGTGCATAGGGAGGTTTCTGGGTTCATGGAGAGGTCCTATTTTCCTTTCTGAACTGAAGAAAACAGTGGTTTGTTTGTTTTATTAATGCTTGTTGTCCCATCTGTCAGATTGGGATTTTCATCCCAGGAGACAAGAAGAATAGGTAAATTTACCTTTCTCACGAAACCCCTGATTTAATCATGTGCCATTTTCTTAGAAAAGAAACATGTTTAATAATTGAGGCAGATGTACTTGTTATGAATTTAGTTCAGAAATTACATCTATGACATGCTTGGAACTGTTTATCTCCGATCACGCTAAGAACTGCTCCGAGAAACACAGTGGTTGCCTCCCTGAATGCCTTCTCCTGTTCAGGAGCAATCGTTCCCGTGGACACACCGGTGACCCATAACACGTTCATAGTCGTGAGCCATAAAGTGGTCTTCTCTGCCAACGCTTCAAATACGTACCGGTAAACTTATCCGGTTTCAGTGCTGCGGCAAAGCCACTTGCCGAAAAATTCCTAGACATAATAGGTTTTTGGATTGCTAAGTAAATAGGCAATTTTTCGACTAATTTAATCCATAAGTAGATAACTAGCATGGCATTGACAGAACGAACAACATACTGGTACTGGTCTAAACAATCACGTACTATGCAAACAGTAGACAAATCTACACATGATGCTAGCACTACTAATACAAAAATTATCAGGAGAGGGATAAATGCGTTATACCCTCCAGTAGGCCATGCAGAAGCCACCGGGACGGTGGCAGCAGCGTCCTCGGTGGCCTTCTTGTCGGCCTCGGTCTTCTCGGCGGCGGCACGTTCGGCGTCGCTGGACATGGTGATGACGGAGACAACGCGGACGTAGAGGAAGTAGTGGATCAAAGGAGAGCAGTTGCGTAGTCGCTTCCCAAAAACCTATTCGTCTCTCTCCCGTACAGGAACCAGAGAGACGGGGTTTCGGAGACCTACTCTCCCGTCGACCGTGTACGTGACGGACGAGATGGAGTCACCGGCGGCAGCAGCAGCAAAGGAACGACGGTGGGCGGTTCGCGTGGAGAAGATGTGATCTAATCGTGGCGGCTAGGGTTTGGGGACACCACACACTTATATAGACGCAGCCGCATGGAGAGACGTGGGCTCGACCCACGTCCGAGTCCGTGACAGCCCACGATCCGACGTCTCAGATCGTGGTCCTGCTGTCAGAAACTCTCCGTTAGTGACTGGCAAAAATAAGCGCATAGGTGTGAGCTTGGCTCGGCTCATTCCCGCAACCCGCGGCGCGTCGTGACCAGGCGTGGCATGGCGTGGCGTGGTGAGGCGGGCGGTGGAGGAGGAGCGCGCGAGGGCCTCTTCTCTTCTCAATCTCCAATAGCATGTAGAAGAGCCACCCTTATAAGGAGGTCCAACTCCTCTTCCACTTCCAGCGTGGGACTAAACTTCCCACCTCCACCTAGTGCCAATAACCCACATGGGCCCTTAGAGATTTTTCTTAAATTGCTATATGGGCTTAAGGGCCGTCTCAAATTTCAGCAGAAACACCCCCCCCCCGGCACCACCATTTTCATTGAAAACGCGAAACCAGGTATACAGCGATCAGCCTTCTGTCAAAGGTTCCAAGAAACTAAACCAAACTCAAACCTCTAGCCGTCAGGCAAAAAAAAGGTAAAGGAGCCAAAACGCTTGCAGGGGGCTGTAAAGTGCAACTTATTACAAGCCTTACAAGTTCTAGATAGAAACTAAGGTGCTCACATCCAAATAGAACATGAGTTTTTCCAGCTGAGAAGTCCATCTTCAACCGCCCATTGCTGCAGTGCCAGTTTCTTCTTCCTCGCCTGGTTTGCGCATCCCCACTTGGTTTTCTTGAAGGGTTGCACTGGGGTCAGCGATAGTTCCAGCGGAGTGACAGGGCTTAGTAGCGATGAGTGTTTGCAGTTCTTCTCAGGGCTGTTCGGCGGTGTGTAGTGATCAGGCGGAAGCAAAACCCCAAACCTCTTCTCCTATCCCAGTGACATTTTGGAGAGTGAGTCTAGGCTTAGGATACCTGCAGTATCATTGCCATCTATCACCCCACAGTCAGCAGGAAAGGGGAGGTGAGGATCACTATCACTTTTTGAGAAACCATCTTCAACTCTTCCAAGGGAGATTCTTTGAACAGGATCATCCACTTCTTGAGAGTCAAATGAATCTGCCACCATATCTGTTTGAGGTCAGACCACAACACATTATTGAAAACCATAGAATTTCTAAACTTCCAGATGCACCACATAACACAGGCACAAACAGAGTTTTTTATGGGCTGGCCAGAATCTAGCAATGGATAGGTAGTTGCTACCTACATCATGAGAAAGAATTCTAGACATTTCACTCCATATTTGTTTAGCAACCACACAGCTAAAGAACAGGTGATCTATGGATTCCTGTTCCTTGCAAAAATCACATTCAGGTGGTTTAGTAATCCCTCTCTTTAACAAGTTGTCTTTGGTCATTAACTTGTTATGGGACAAGAGCCACAAAAACACTTGTACCCTGGGTGGGACCACTATAGTCCAAACAGAAGGTATATATATACAGGTTGCACTCCTCTGAAGTTAATAATATTGTGAAGGGAGCTAGTAGAGTAGACCCCTTTGCTCTCGTATTGCCAAATTAGAGAATCTTCCTCCTCAGTCAGCACACAGTTCTTGATGATCTGCTCAAGGCAGTACCAATTCTCCATCATGGCATCTGAGAAAACCCTCCTAAATGATAATTTGATATTAATCCCATCCCAAGCATCTGCCACAGTCACCCCCTGCTGGTGGCAGATAGTGTATAGGGGCAAGAACTGGACTGACAGTGGGGATGTGCCAAACCAGATGTCTTCCCAAAGTCTAGTCTTCTTACCATTACCTATTTTCCATCTATAACCAAACTTCAGGGCTCTAGCAGCCCACATCACACCTTGCCAAAATTTGGACGTGTTCTGGGGGTTGGAGGCAAAAATGTTTGGGCTCCTCCTAATATATTTAGAATCTACTATTTGTATCCAGATCTTGCCCTCATCATGGATGTATCTCTTAACCCAATTACCCAACAGGCACAGGTTAACATCCTTGATATTTGGGATACACATTCCTCCATATTCTTTCCTCATGCAAACCAGATGCCAGTTTGCAAGGTGAAGTTTCCTATTCCCTTCAAAATCACTCCAAAGACAATGGGCAAGCTGGCTGTTAATCAGGTCCAGGGCCCATTTGGGGAATTTGAAGAAGGAGAGCAGGTAAACAGGGATGCTAGCCAGACAAGCCTTAATTAGAATCACTCTAGCAGCATAAGAGAGAAGCTTTCCTCTCCATCCAGCCATTCTTTTGAGGATTTTGTCAATAAGTGGCTGGATGTCCTCCCTTCTAAGTTTTTCATAGTGTAGGGGGATACCTAGATATTTGATAGGAAAGGTACCTACAGTACATTCTAATATATTTTTGAAAGAATCTACTTCTCGGTCAGTGAGCCCAATAGGGATAATCTCACTTTTAGAGTAATTGATCCTCATACCAGATACATTCTCAAAAAGCAGGTTAGGATATGTTTGAGGTTAGTAACCCTATCTTCAGAGTTGTCTACAAAGAGGATGGTGTCATCTGCATATTGTAGACATATGACCCCTCCAGGTATGGGATCAGAGCACAATCCACTCACTAAGCTATGAGAGGCTGCTTTAGCCAGCATCCTAGTCAAAACATCTATAACTAGGTTAAACAATAATGGGGAGAAGGGGTCTCCTTGTCTCAGCCCTTTGCCAGTAGTGAATAAATCACCTTCCACCCCATTAATTTTCACCCCAATTGATCCCATTTGGGTGATCTGCTTAATCTAGTTAATTCATTTAGAATCAAACCCTCTCTTTTCTAGAATCTCATAGAGAAAATCAAGGTTCACCTTGTCAAAGGCTTTCTCGTAGTCTAATTGATCACCAACCTAGCATTGCCAGTATGTACAGTGGAGTGCAGCACCTCATGTGCAGTCACCACACTTTCTAGAATGTACCTACCCTTAATGAAGGCAGATTGGTTACTGGAGGTGAGGAAATTCATCAACCTAGCTAATCTATTAGTTAAGACCTTGGTGAATACTTTAAAAATGCAGTTAAGCAAACTAATAGGCCTGAACTTCTTCAAGTTAGAAGCATCTTGTTCTTTAGGAACAAGGGTAATCATGGCAAAGTTAAGTCTATAGATGTCTAGGTCCCCCTCATAAAAATCCTTGAAGATGGCCATAATATCTGGTTTCAACACCTCCCAAAACTGTTGTAAGAAGACAAAGGAAAGCCCATCAGGGCCTGGAGCCCCATCTGAGTAGGATCTAAAAATGGCTTCCTTTACCTCATCTTCAGTAAAAGGGGCTTGAAGAAAGCTATTGTATTCTATTTTAACTTTTTCATCTTCAGAGAAAAAGACATCCCTCAACCTAAACCCATTTCTACTCTCTTTCTTAAAGAGATCTTTATAGAAGGAGGAGGCAATGTCTAGCATGTCCTTGGTCTCTGTGACAGTGCCATTAGGGCCATCAAGAGCATGTATCTATGTTTTCCTCCTCCTTTGATTAGCTACAACCTGAAAGTATTTAGTATTCCTATCTCCTTCAAGAATATCTTTATCCCTAGATCTTTGTTTGGCTTTCACTTCATCTTTAAGCCAAATATGGTGAAGCTCTTGCCTCACCATTTTCATCCTATCAATCTTAGAGGCAGATAACTGCTATTTTTCTGCTTTAACACCTAGGGCATCAAATTCAAGTGTGAGGTGGGCTTTATGCTTCCTAATCTCAGCTTCTATATTCATACTCCACCCTCTAGCAAACCTTCTAAATCTCTGAGCTTTCTCCTGCCAGATCTCTATAGCTTTTTCCTTCTTGACAGGAGCTGTCCAGTTCTTGATGACCAAATCCCTAAACTCTTCCCTCAGCAGCCACCACTTTTCAAATTTGAAACTGGTGGGTTTAGGGGGACTACTCAGCCCAGAGTCCCACAGCAAAGGGGTGT